TTACTACAAAATGCATAACAAACCACGATTATATTTTATTATTAAAACAAGCAAAAACACACAAAAAATGTATGTAAGGTTGAAACTGACAGTACCGCTTACACATGGCATGCTTTACTTACAATAAACAACAATTGGCATAACGTATCCATTCTTTTAATCTGTTTGTAGTCCCACTAAACCAGTTAAAACTATGCAAAGACCTTTTAAAACCTAATTTAAAATTTATTTTATTTACCAATTCCTTAACCTTTTATCGTCAAAGCAATATATATACCATTAAAACGAAATAAAAAAACAAAGCAAATGTATTTTTATTACTTTGAACCTAAGCAAAATACATTTTATACCAATACAGCCAACATACGAGTGACTTGTGGAGACAAAGTGAGTACTTGAAAACGCCATAAAATTTAAATTGTGCATTATTTGGGAGAAGAAAACATCTTTTAAGAAAGTTATTTTAAAGTTGGAAAATAGATGAATTGTAAGCACTTTTTTCTATTCCCACCTTTATCGTTTATCATACTAAGTGACTTTTAAAATACACATTGACAAGTTGTGGCTTTATGGAGTTTTAGTCACGGGCTGAAGTTGGTTTAAAGTTAAAATAAAGTGCCCTTCTTATAAAATAATATTAAATGTAAAAATTATTTTATTAATACAAAAATACAGTATTTAGTAGTTTCTTAACGGCAATTTTTGAAAAGTTAATATTAGCTTTGTACTGACCTTTTAATTTTGCCAGCAGTAACCTAGATTTAGCTTAATTTCAGGTGGAGACTCCACATTTTCTTTGCTTTTAATGTAAAAAACTGCTTCCATATCGGATTTAAACGGTCCATTTTCAATTTACACATACAAATTTAACATTTTTACCGCCGCGCTGGTATTTCCAAGAATAGTTGTACTATAGATGTCGCTCTATACAAATATTTTATTTAAATAATTTTTAGATAATAATAAGAATTTGTCGTTGAAAAAGTATAGTATGCAACTCGTTTATAAACTTTTCTATACACTCATTTAATTAGGAACTTGCTTGCAAGCTCGCTCTTTCCTAAATTAAATTCGTGACTAAAATGGCGTTTATCAAACTTGATACATAACATACTATTAAATGTTTATGCCACAACGTTTAATAAATTCATATGATTTTATTATATAGTTTTTAAAAAGACTTTAGAAACTTCACTATAGTTTATATGATATCTATAGATATCATATAATATAGGTTTCTCTAGGTATCTCATGTTTAATAGTATATTAAAGAACTAATGTCATAAGACATCATTTTGCGCACACGGACAATTTATAATGTAATGGACGAGTGCGACAAAAGGTCTTATGACATGATTTCTTTATGCTATTTTATCTATTTTGCAAAAATTCTATAAAAAAAATTAATTTTATAGCTTAAATTTAATTTGGTCGAATTTTACTTTAAATAGTTGGTATCACAGTCATTGGTTTGACAGTTAATGTCAAAATCAATTCGCCATGCCGTCCTTAATTTACTTATTTACAATAAGCGGCTGTTAATGTTAAAGATGAAAAAAAGGATTTTCTTTGGTGTCAAGCAAAATTTATTGCCAGAAAAGTCTCGTAAGTACTAGAAAAATCATAGAAATATTATAACCAATATGCAAAATATTATGCTGTTTAAAGTATAGCCAACCTATAAAATCAAAATTTTGGGTGGGATAAAGTATCTTATTACAGCACCGAAAGCCGTATTATAATGAAGTTATTATGAACGCAAAATAGATAAAATACTTTTAAAAATCTCCAAGAGAAAAAGGGAATTGTATCTTGTTTATCTGAAATGAAAGTCAAGCTATTCTATTATTCAAGAAAACCGCTAAGTGTTTTAATGCTGGATAAGGTACACAAAAATCTGTTGCTCAAGATATTTAAAACAATACTAAAGCGTGTTTAGTCTTTGTATTTTGCTGGTTTACCATATCATTAAAAAAAAACCTTAAAGATTTAAAACTTTTAATCAAAATAAAGACAATTTGTAAGTAGTAGTCATTTTATATCAAAGATATATCTTTTTTTATAAAACTCAATTCACTTTTACCGTCCAATAAACCACTTAACGTACAAATGCGAAAATATTGTAAATGGAAATCGCAAAGCTCTTAAATAAATTAGAGTTTTCAATTTTCGAAGGATCGATGAAGAAAAGAATTTAAAATTTTTTTGTTTTATTTTGCAGACCAATTTTATTCCTGTTGCATTATTGAAAAATTGATGTATTATTAAAAATTTCTATTTCATAGTTTATTTTTATAAGGAATTTTATAATAATTTGATTTTTACCCTATTATTAATGTAAAGTCCTCCATTATATACTTTTGAGTGTTGTATTATGAAAAATGTTTTTTATATTTACAAGAAATATAATGTATTTTTGTCCAAAATTTAAAATATTTCTTAAACAAAGAAAAGCTGCACGAAGAAATAATGTTTTAGTTTTTTGGTAGTTCTTTAATACCATTACAACTAACTTGTATTATTTGGGGTGTGTAAGTTTGAAGCAGTTTGATACAAAAATTAAGGGGTTCAAAATTTGTTTCAAATTTTTTTAACAATGGGATTTGATTTCTAGCTCCAAAATCTTAAAAAATAATGTGAAAAAAAAATTTTTGGAGAAAAGGTTATTTCGAACACAGCTTCTAACAATTATTGTTAAATTTGTCATTTTTGTGTTTATGGTTATATTTTCTGGCAACAGTAGCCAGAACCAAAGATAATACACCCCATAGATTGGAAACTCTCCCACCACTGCCCTCTAAAGCTACAATACCTGAACTATATCAATTTGTAAATTGCAGACATCTGTACAAACCCTATTTGCAAATCTCAATGTCAATCATAATTATTGATGCCGATCATAATTTTTGAATTATTAAATACATTTTTGCGCCTTAAAAGTGATAAAACGTGTTAATGGTTGTGAAATGTATTGTTGTTGGGCGCGGAAATGTAACCAATTTGTAAGTATTGACTATCCTGCCGTCCTAAGCCAAAAAGATTCATCTCGTTATTATAAAGTTATTCTCTTAGAAAAAAAGACGCATTTTAACTATACATACATTTTTAAGTACTATAGCTCCTAAAAATATCTAATTAAATTGAACGTATCTTAGAAAAAAAAAACAATAAAGCGCTATAATTTATAAAGTAAAAATGTGGCTTTGGGTCTTTTTGGCTAAGCACGGCAGTATCGCTCTAGCGTTTGCTAATTACGAATTATTTAGCATTGCTTGTTTAATGGTAATTTAGTCCAGGCCAAGCCCAGGCTACTTATGGTTGTTCCAAAACCAATAGTTGGCAAGATGGATTTTTCACGGTTGGTTAGAACTTGCCAAAAGTCCACACTCAAAAGCCTTGTACAAATTCCTACATGTATATGTATAAGTAGCCTTGACTAAATTCCCAAATTTTGCAATATTCTCTTATTATTGAAGAATTAAGACTAATATTTTTTAGGTTTGCACTCCACAAACAAAAACATATTCATGTATACCGATTATGAATTTAATATATACATATTATATGTATAATAGATGTATGTATTTTATTTTATATTATATTATTAATACAATAAATAAATCTTGTATTCATACTTGTTTTATTAAAAATACAGCAGTAAATACAATATATAAAGGCACTCTACGAAGCATCAACATTCAAATATAGCGCTAATATATGTTCAGAAATCTACTTCAATTTTTGGCATTGCTAAGGGTATTGTAGACCTAGATGGCATTAATTTACTTTAGCCTTTTGCCGCTAGCGCTAGTGCAGTTTCCAATATATGGGGTGTATATATCTTTGGCCAGAACCGGCCTAAAAACGCCTAACTAAGGGTTAAATAAATTCGTTGCTCTTTCGACAAGGTTGTTATTAATTTGACAATTTTTCGTTTTTGACTGTCAATGACACGACTTTATTTTTATTGGATTGATGTAATGAAAACCTAATAAACAAAAGTCGTGTTAACTGTTGCCATGAAAATGAAATGTAATTTTTGGAACTTAAATGTTAAACTAAATCGGCCTATTTTTTTGTTTGTCTGAAACGGAATACAGAGGTCCTGAATGAGTCACAAAAAAATGATGCCAAAAACTGAATGCGCTATCGGAATAAGGACCCTTTCTAGAATTTAAATACATGTTTTTCAAAATTGTAGGTGATCCTTTTTTTTAATTTTGGAAGTTTATACAAATACCAACTGTAACTTAATGACAAAAATCTAGATTTTTTTTAAATAAATGCTGTTTAGTTAAAATTATTTTATGGAGAAAACCAGATATTTGGACCAAATGCACAAAAATATTACTTATTTGGCACCATATACTTTAGAATTTCATTAAATGCAGTATTTATATTCTTAAATTCTTAAACCATCCATTTTTATTCTAATGTTATAAAGATTTATACATTTTTAACGCCTAAACATAATATTATTTCTTTCGTTGACTATACTTTGACAGATACATAACCTTAAAAGAATTAAATGCCAAATTTTCAAAAGACTGCGTTCCGTACGTGGTCACGTGGTGGGAATTTGAGGTTTGGAGCATAGTACGTATTAAGTAGCAATCCAAATCTTGCTAAGAAATTTTTATATTTGGAAAAATAACACATTTAATTTTGAATGAAAACTATTTTTTCTATGATAAAAAAATAAATATCCCTACTATGATTATTGATGTTTGTAAATTAAAAAAGAAATGCACAAACCTCAAAAATCACAGTATTTAATGTGAAATTAAAATGCCGTACAACCGGCATAAACACTTAATATTCCCGTCTCGATCCGTGCCCTTTAAACAAACGAAATCGTTTTAAAGCAAGGAGCAGAGGTAAAAAGCGCTAATGCGAACCCGTTTGTCTAGCTTGGAAAGCGAGAGAGAAAGAGTGAGTAATGTAAGGAGAAGCGTGGATAGAGTTGATAGTGGATGTATAAAGAGTGGGTATGTACTCACCCCGGGCTGAACGGGAACGGCGGTCTTTGGTCCAAGATTTATGGTCCTTCCGTCCGATCTGATGAGTAGATTGAGACCTCGGGCTCCTGGTTTGCCGCCTGCAAAAAACAACGTCACGCTTTGTCAATATATATAACTTGACGCACTATGGGATTCAATTGAGTTTAAAATTTTATTGGTTAAAAGTTTTTTCGGACACATAATAACAAGATTAAAATTTTTATGTTTATAGAAAATTGTTATTTATGTCATTAGGTTAAGAAGAAAGTAAGGCTTTTTGTGCTAAGCTCAAGGTTTGAAAGGCACTTCTTGGCCGAATGGCATACAACATTTTATCTTCAAAGCACTTTATATACGTCAATTTAATTCAACATCAAAGCGGCCCAACCTCACTTTTGTAGAATCTCATTTATTTATTAGCTAAAGATTACATTAAATGTACAATAATTATTATTGCTTTTAGAAGCAGTAATAGTTTGACAATACCTAGCTACATGATTTAAGTAGAAATGGATTTTTGCTATTACATTGAATTCAATTAATTGTTTAATAAATAGGTAGGTATCTAATTTCAATTTGTTTGGATTTTTGTTTAAAAAATAGGTAGTTTGGAATGTTTAAGCTGTGTTTAACATTTAATTTCACTGAAAACTTAAAGCAAATTAAAACTTAAAGATCGTGCGTTTTCTTGGTTGCCTAACCTCACTTTTTGTTTTATTATTCAAATTTAATTTTACAATAATTTAATGAAAACTATTAAACATTAACAGTAAAACAAACAAATTAGTGCTTATTATAAATAAATTAAACCAGTTTAGTACGTTAATTTCTTAGAAAAGGATTAATTTGTCAAAACAATACCCCTAGCGAGAAAAAATCGATCTAATTACTTGCCTCATAAAATTTTTTATCGGCCTAGGCCATAAAAAGGTATTTCTTTATCGAATGTTGACAACAATAAAGTTTAAATTATAGACCGCTTTATATAAACAAAAGCATTTTTTCAATAAAAATAATTAATAATAAACCACAACCCGGCTATAATAATATTATAGCCGGGTTGTAATTTTATTACATCTTTATTAAACAATACCAAAAATTATTAATTCATTATTAAAATAAATTTTGCAAAACTGGCGAAGGCACCGGGATCACAAATATGTTTTTTGGGTGATTCAAAATATCTACTATTCGCCTATATAAAAATACTTTATTTTTGTACGCAGTTCAAAAGTCAAATTATATATTATTATATTAAATTTTACGCAGCAAAAACATTACGGTAAATCAAAAAATATACTATTCTTTTTTAGACTGAATTGGTAAGCTGGGCACCTTAAAAGAATCTCTTACTATTAAGAGTAAGATCCTCCTCATTGCAATTTACCAATTTTACATTAGTGCAATATAAATTTTGACAAAAAAGGAATCCTATGGTTTTTTCGTAAACATATTCATTTAAAAGATAATATCTTTCGAATGACTTTGACTTAAGATATTATCTTAGGTGAAAGTTTAAAATAATAAAAAAAAATATTTTTTTGAAATAAGCACTAGGTACATATTTTTGTTGGAAAAAACTAATCTTTGAAAAACTGCATTGTTTTTTTTATAAATGTAAGCGTTATAAAGATAGTCTTGTTTAATACCTGGCTTCAAATATGACAGGGGTTTCTTTAGATTTTCCCCTAAATAATTCATTGATATCAAATTTATATATATATATATATATATATATATATATATATATATATATATTTATATTTAATGTTGTAATGTAATTATTGATACATCAAATAAATGTTTTAAATGTCATTTATTAGTCTAGGAAACAAAGGTTGTAAAATGAAAATTCGATGGTAGTCGGGTTTTATTTTTTGTATGTAGAGTCAGGGGTGCTGTTAATGAATCAAGAATATTCCCCAAAAATTTCTTTCCGCGTCCCCTAATTTCATCTAGCCTTTACAGATAAAAAAATGCATCTTGAGTTTTGTGCCCACAAAACTTAATTAAGGTGCATCTTTTTTATCTATAAAGGCCAGTAAACGGGGAGTTTTTGCCATTTTCCCAACATTTTATTAAAATGGATATAGGCGGTTTTGCACGGATGCTCCTTAAATGGTCTTTGCCGTTTTTTGATCAGACACACCATTAATAAGTTATTAATAAAATAAAGTAGCCAATCACAGGCGTGCTCTAGCAGAATGATTAGAGGTGGGACAACACAAACTTTTGTAGGAATTCCATGGCTATAGCCATATATAATCAATGATTATTAATCATACAGTGAAATTACCTTAATTTTATTTTTTCACTTTCACAGTGTTTTGTTTTTTTAAGTTCAGGAGAAATGTTCATTTTTTAGACCTACCTTTTCTTTTTTTTAAACTTGTGACTTAATAAATAAGCACCCTAATGTTTTTGTTGCGTAAAATTTAATATAATATATTTTTTTAATAAATACAATTTAAATAATAACAAATAATTTAATATAAATAAATTCAAAATGTAATTACTAGCACGAGGTAGTTATTTTTATAAGTTAATAGGGTGACCGATGGTAAATTTCCAATTTTAAACTAAAATACCTTTTTTAATTTTTTAACTAATTTAAAATAGGTACAAAGAAAATTTCAGTCTTTAGGATATTATTTATGAGAGGCAACGTCAACTAAATGTCGTCTCTCACAACGTACGAGTTTTATGGGTAGCAAGTCTGAAATTCCGCATTATCTTTAATGATAATGCGCATTTACACCTCCAGGGCCTTGTCAAGTTTACTTTGTAAACAAACAAAATTTTCTATATTAGTTTGATAAAAACCCGGCACGAAGACCCAATGCATTTACCAAGCCTTAAGCTCTTATTTTTCGATAAGACGATCAGGGCGAGTTTTTGCAAGATAAAGCTACTTTTCCTAATTTAGTACAATTATGTGTTATTACCATAACCAAAGATTCGTTGACATATTTCAGTCAATAAATGTTTAAGAAAATAATAAACCACCGTATAATCGTAAGTAATATCATAAGGGAATCTAATTTTTCCGAAAAAAATCGAAAAAACACGTTGCTAAGTAATATTTTAACAAGAAGCATGAGTGCCGGTGGCAACAAAAATCCGAGTCGAAGAGGAGGATTATTGCACCTGCACGAATGCATTTTGTTATATTACTTAGCATTGTGTTTTTTCGATTTTTTTCACAGGAAAAATTAGATGCCCGAATGGTATTTTACAAGACTATTTCATGAGTAACAGTTTACAATTAAAATATAAATTGCAATTTTTGGTGACAACAGCTGTCAAGTTTTGTCGCGGGTAAACTCGAAAAAACTGCTGACAGGTGCTGTCACACAGTTTTTTCACCTAGAAAACATTTGTAATTCAAAATTGCGCGTTTGTGATTGGTGAAAATTAAGAAATAGTCACCCATAATATAACAAATGGTATGATTATGATCGATGATATTTTCGAATTGAAACCAAGCTGCAGATTTCACGAGTTCGCAGGACGAGTGAAATGTGCTGCTTCGGTTTCAAAGAGTAAATATCATCGACTATTTTCCTTTTCTTAATTTCCACCAATCACAAACGCGCAATTTTGAATTACAAATGGTTTCTAGGTAGAAAAACTGTATGACAGAACCTGTCAGCAGTTTTTTCAAGTTTACCCGCGGCAAAACTTGAGAGCTGTCACCAAAATTGCAATTTATATTTTAATTGTAGCATAAATAATTAAGTTTGTAGTATTTTCTGGATAAATAAATGAGGAGGCCCATTCCAAAACTCGGCTTATCCACTTTTTAATAAAAATGGGTTAGTGGTGTCTGTACATTTAACACGTATCCCCCTATACCCTGAAAAGTTCATAATATTATAAAACTAACCTTATTACATTTAAAATTCATTTACAAATTGACTATCGTTTCAAAACTTGCCTTATCTATTGGTTATATCATGCAGAACTCGGCATATACGTATGTATATATGTAAATTTTAAATTATTTTAAACTGGAGCTATACCTTTTTAATCAAGGTAAATAAATGTTTTACTTATGCCTTTATATTTATATAAAGTAGTGTGTTTGCCTGATATGCGTTAGTACTCACGTGTAAGGTTTTTGACATTTTGCTCGAAAACAACTAATATGGATAAGCCGAGTTTTGGGATGCACCTCCTCAAGTTACCTATTTTCAAATTTTACCTACATATTTATTATGTATGCATAATGCATGTATAATAGGTAGTATGTTTTGTAAGCTATGTCTATGCAGAACTCATAAAATAGTCTTGTCAAATACTTTTCGGGCATCTAATTTTTCCTGTGAAAAAAATGATATTACTTACGATTATTAATCATACCACGAGTTATATTTAGTAAGAAAATATAATGAATTTTAGGATTTAAGAAATTGTCAGTTTGACATTTAAAATTAAAATGTGCTTTAAATTATAAAGACTTTAATAAACCTTATTTATTCAAACTTACCTTAATTTCTTTATCGTTTACACCAACCCATCGATCTTTTAGAGTTTATAATTTATTATTTTAATGATAAAACAAACACAGGATTTAAGTTTCAAAAAATGTTAAATCAAAAAAATTAATTTTACAAATGTGCACGTTATTTGTGTTTCCTGTTGCGTGTAAAAACTAAAAAACTTTGGTTTAGTACTCGATTTCGATTTTCATTGATTAAGAAATTCAACGCTTACATGCTTATATAGTTACGTTAGAGTGTGTATTTTATCTAAATGGTCATGGTGAATTATTATGTTTTTAATTGTAAATGTAATTCAAGAACTAAATCGTTGCATTTTTTGCCAAATAATCCAATTTGGTACGTATATTTTTTGGTGCAGTATTAAGTATTTATAACAGTACCTAATATAATTTATATTTAAGTTTGAACATTTTTAAGAAATCCAACAAAAAAGAATTGTTTTAAAAACAAAACCTTAAAATCAAATTTTTATTATATTTGAGATCTTTATAAAACCGCCGACAAGTGCATTTTTAAATAGTAAACGACAAAATATGTCTACGAATTCATGGCAACATAATATTATATATAATACCGTAAATAATACCTGTTTT